GTGCTCCCGTCTGTCGTGACGTCAGGCTGTCTCCACTGCGCCGCCTCCTACCGCCTCAGACGGGGGCGGTTGTCTGGTCCCTGAGGCGTTGCAGCGTCGCTGTCCTGCCCTCGGCGGGGGTGGCGGGCTCCCCCTTCTTTGCCCCCCAACCGAGCTCAGGACGTGGTCCCCGGGTCTCGGGTGAAGCCCTGAAAGGTCAGACGCCTTCCCTTCCCCGGGAGCCGCGCGGCGCGTCTGTGCGAGCGGGCGAGCCGGCGGTCCTCAGGCCCGCGGTGGTCTGTGGGCGTGGGAGGCGGGAGGAGCCGGCTGCTGTGGCGGCACACCGGGAACTTACATGGGTGCTCTGTCTTCTCAGGCTCCTGCACCTCGGCGCAGACTTGAAGAGACAAGTGCGCGCATCACTGCGAGTGGCGGCGGCACGCGGGACGAACTAGGACTTAAATACGCTGGCACCATGACGCTGAGGCTCTTGGAAGACTGGTGCAGGGGGATGGACATGAACCCTCGGAAGGCACTATTGGTTGCTGGCATCCTCCCGACCTGCGGAGTGGCAGACATCGAGGAGGCCCTGCAGGCTGGCCTGGCTCCCCTGGGGGAGCACAGACTGCTTGGGAGGATGTTCAGGAGGGATGAGAACAAGAATGTAGCCTTGGTGGGGCTTACAGTAGAGACTAGCAGTGCTCTGGTTCCCAAGGAGATACCTGGAAAGGGGGGTGTCTGGAGAGTGATCTTTAAGCCTCCTGATGCTGATAATGAGTTTTTATGCAGATTAAATGAGTTTTTAAAGGGGGAGGGCATTACGATGGGTGAATTGACCAGAGTTCTTGGGAATCGAAATGGCCCTCTCAGACTAGGCCAGGGCATGATCCCTGAAATTCGAGCCCCCATGTTGGCACAGGCATTAGATGAGGCTCTTAAGCCTACCCTGCAGTATCTGAGGTACAAAAAGCTTAGTGTATTTTCAGGCAGGGATCCTCCAGGACCAGGAGAAGAAGAATTTGAATCTTGGATGTTTCATACTTCTCAGGTAATGAAAACATGGCAGGTGTCTGATGTAGAGAAAAGAAGGCGGTTGATAGAGAGCCTAAGAGGCCCAGCGTTTGAAATTATTCATGTTCTCAAGATAAACAATCCTTTCATTACAGTTGCAGAATGCCTGAAGACCCTTGAGACAATATTTGGGATTATTGATAATCCTAGGGCATTGCAAGTCAAATACCTTACTACTTACCAGAAGGATGGTGAAAAGCTGTCTGCGTATGTTCTAAGGTTAGAGCCTTTATTACAAAAATTGGTACAGAAAGGAGCAATTGAGAAAGAAGTTGTGAATCAGGCCCGCCTAGACCAGGTCGTTGCTGGAGCAGTCCACAAGACAGTTCGAAGAGAACTTGGACTGCCAGAGGGTGGCCCAGCCCCAAGTTTACTTCAGTTACTTGCACTGATAAATGACAAGGAGGCAGCAGAGGAGGAGGAAGAGGTCCTTCGTCAGGCCGAATTAGAAGGGTATTTCACTTGACCCAAGACTGGCAAGGATGTCATGATGAGCAGAACATGATGGAAGAATTCATATCAGTGATCAGCCCATTCCCACTTGTGCTGCCAAAGTAGCTTACCCTTTGTTGTGTTCACCTTATTGAATGTCTCCCTAATGTATTACTGACATGAACAATGTCATTCTACACTGATAATTAAATCAAAAGATGAGTCATTCTACTAGTGCAGTGTCCTAGGAGGCAAACAAATTCACTTGCACGTGTAATAGTCTTATGTGACCATATTATTGGTAATTGATAGTTTTCAAGTGTTGCCCACATTTATGGTGAAGACCCTGAGCCAAGGCTGGCTAAGATAGTCAGGGTATATATATCAGTTATTGATTCTGTGCGATCAAAAAGCACAATTGAATGCTGAGGTTAAGTCTACAACAGCTATCTTTAGGTTTATGATGTATCTGATGTGTTGTCAAAGTGTCTGGTTCTAAATATCATTTTCTTGATGTTATAATATTGAATAAATAAAGAAATGCTAGTAATAAAATGTTGGGTTTTATCTTTCTATACTTTGGGGTTCCAAAATACATTTCCCCACAAGACAGGGTCTCTGTGTAGCCCTGGCTGTCCTTGAACTCACTCACTCTATAGACAAGCCTCAAGCTCAGATCTGCCTTTCATCTGCCTCTCCAGTACTAGGATTAAAGGCCAAGTACCATACCACCCAGCTTAAAAAAAAAAAAAAATCAGGAACCAGACTGTACACAGATTATGGCAAGTAGTAGACCCAGCTACATCACTACTGAATTTGGAAGGGAAAGATGAGGTTTTATCTGTTTTTCTGATCCTAAAAGTCTTGTAAAATATGCCAGGCTGTAATACCAGCATTTAGCATGCAGGGGCAGTAGCCGGAAGATTGGCCTTTTAAGGCCAGTCCAAACTACATAGTGAGACACTGCTTCCAAAGACAAAATTCTGTACATTGGGAAACTCAATTCATACCTAGGGAGATGGACACATGCCTAAGATGAAACAAGTAGCAGTGAGAACTGTTCTCTTTCTTGCATGGTTGGTGTTCTTTCCACTGCCAGGGAAGAAGCAGTGCCGAGGGAGGGAGCTCCCTCAAGAAGCAGGACCAGACTCAGTCAGCATGCATGTATGTAGTCCTCATTGCACTGGAGTGCAACAGATACTCTGAATTAGCACACATGGTCAGTTCCCATAAATTCTCCCACTACAGAATGGCATTTGGACTCTTGGAAGCTGTGATCCTGCCCTTGTCTGTGTGGTGGTTTAGGACTGTCCTACAGGTCACTCATTTGCTGTCTCAGTTGTGAGAAACGCTACATTTTGTTATGTAGACTCATGAGTGTTAATAAATGCTGCACCTCTCCTGTATGTGAGACCCTGAGCTGGGAAAGTAAACTGTACAGGGTAAATCCTGCCCTGACGTTGGACATGCCCTTGGCCGGGAACTGAATACCAGCTGAAGACCATATGTTCCAAGAACCTTTGTCCTCTCCCCACCTCCCATTTAATGAATGCGTTGAGGCGAAGAGAAGTAACTTATCTAGGTTTTACAAGTAGTAATGTGACCACCACCCCACACACATACATCCCCCCTCCCCACCGTTGGGTCTTTTTATTCTGGGTAGGAACCATGGATAGAGACCTTTAAGTGCTCGTCTTTGACAGCTTTGATTTTCCAGTGTCTGACAGTGGTAGCACAGACAGGTGGGAAAGGCAGACGGTGCCCCCTAGTGCTGCGGCTCTTGTGAAAGCCCTTAAGCTGGACCCTTGAGCATTTAACAACAGCTCTTTTCTTGTGCAGCCTCTAGTAATCAGACCCTTTGTTCTAACCTACAAAGTTACGGTATAGGCGCCTCTAAAGTGGCACAGCAATTGTGTAGACCTAGAAAGTTGGGATTCCTTAGCCCTTGGCAGAGGCCAGCCTTAAAGCTCACAGGCCGCAGAGTGTCTGAGACTTGTAAAATCACACAAGCTCTCTGGAACCTCCAGTGGCAAGGGCCTGCAATTCTTTTCTGGCTCTTTCTTTACAGCCTTTTGTCCATCTCTGCCTCTTCGCTATCGAAGCAGCCAGACAGGTTGCCATTTTCCTGGCTTTGCCTGCTACTCCACTATCCGCTCTTGCTGCCACTCTTCTGTCTTGGTACTATCATCTTAGCCCCACAGCTACTAAAAACAGGCAAGAGGAGGATACTCGAGAATCTCCATTGGGGGAAGCAGCACAAAGGGGTGTCTCTTCGTGACTCAGCAAGTGAGCTAGCTCAACAGCCTGCTTACATAGGCAGAGGAAGAGTGTTTACGCCAGTTTCAGAAAAGCTCATGTCAATGAAGGACTGTTTGCACCAATCACAGCATTGTCCTTGTAACACCAGCCGTGGCAGTCACTGCCAAGCTATCAGAGAAACTGTCCTTCCTGAAAATGGTTGCAGGGTTATCTAGGGTTCACTGAGGTTGTGCTAGCAACCATCTGGTAGAAGCTGAACCAGTCTTGGCTGAGGCTTCACCTTCAGGAGGTGGAGCAATCAATCGACTGCGACTGTGTAGTATTTTTCAAGGTGTCCATGGAATGTTCAAAACATTGATGTTGTCAATAGGATAGTCTGACTGGCTGTTTGGCAGTCCTTTAGCTCAAAGCAGCCAAGACAGCAAGGGCAAGACCAGCAATTGGTGATTAAGGAGTCAAATTGCCCCATCAGTGCAAGTGTTCACAATGAAAAAAAGAACTAAAATTTAACTGATTTTACCAGCACTTTAACCTGCTGAGTGCTCTCACAGACTCCTTTACCAAAGCGACAGGTCAGGATTTCCATCCAGACTGCCCACTGCCAGAGTCCTTGATCTTTCTTTTGCATAAAGATTTATTCTTATGTTATGAGAGCTTTGCCTGCAAGTATGGATGTGCATCATATTTGTGCAGCTCCTATGGAAGCCAGAAAAGAGAGTGATGGGACCCCCCAAGGCTGGAGTCACAGAAAGTTGTGAGTCTCCATATGAGTGCCAGGTACTCTGCAAGAGCAGCCAGTGCTCTTTGTTTTGTTTTGTTTTGTTTTATCGAGACAGGTTTTCTCTGTGTAGCTTTGGAGCCTATTCTGCACTCGCTCTGGAGACCAGGCTGGCCTCGAACTCACAGAGATCCGCCTGCCTCTGCCTCACGAGTGCTGGGATTAAAGGCTTGTGCCACCAACGCCCGAAGCCAGTGCTCTTAACTGTTAAGCCATCTCTACAGCCCTCAGAGTCCTTTATCTTAATCTGCTCTGCTCTGTTTTATCTTGTTAACTTCTTACAGGATCATGTCCCCCCCCAAAAAAAGTGTCCATTTTACAGACAGGAAGCTTAAGGTTCAGGAAGATTCAGTGCCAGGAGGAATGGGACACAGTCTGACTCCAAAGAACTTTTCTTCGAAAAAAATTTTAAAAAGCTTTCTTTGGTGCATGGGTGTGCACCACAAGTGTGTGCCCTGTGCCTGCAGAAGCCAGGAGAGAATCGTGTAACTCTGGAACCGGAGTTACTTAGATTATTTGCTGCGTTTGGATGCTAGGAAGGAATGTGGGCCTCTACAAGAGCAGCAAACCCTCTTACCAGCTGAGCCGCCTCTCCAGCCCTCAGACAGCTTTTCTTCAGGTCCTCTGCACGAAGCTGGCGAATTCTACATAAGGGAGAGAGAGAATAAAAAAAGGTTTATATTTATGAAGTTGAAAAATATTAAATGCACATATGCTCTTTTAAACTGCTAGCTGTTTTAGAAACACAAAGGCACGCAAATGCAAAGTTGACGGAATAGGACCTGAAGGGGAAATTCTTTTGTTTAAAAATAAGTGCTCAAAGAAATTCGAGAAAGGTGGCATGTCAGCAACAGAGCAAACATCACAGCGCCAGCCAGTTATAACCTGAAGTAAATAAATACCTGTGAGGGGCGATGCTGATGTCGATAAAGACTGAGTAAATAACTATGGGAGAAAAGATAAATCTTTACAGAAGATCTCCAAATAATTCTTGTGGCTACTTCACCCTTTAGGTCATGTGTCAGTTCTTGTGATAGAACACTGTGCCAGAAGCGACTTGGGGGAGGGGCGGGGGGTGGGGAGCAGAGTGTTTTTGTTGTTAGTTTGTTTTGGCTTATAGGTCCAGAGGGAGAGTCCATGATGGCAGGAGGGCTTGCCAGCAGGCGGCCGGATCAGGACGCAGACTGGTCAGTTTGTCATGCAGGAAGTCCAGAGAGCTAACAGGAAGCAAGGCTACAAACCCTCAGAGTAGGTCCCCCAGTCAGCATGCTTCCTCCAGCCAAGTTCCGTACTATTCCTCTAAACAGTGTCATCAACTAGGAGACAAGTGTGCCAACACCTGCGACAATAGCGGACAGATGTCATTTAGACCACCACAGGAAGCAACGTTTGTCATGTTCCTTTCCCTTGGCACCTAGGCTCAACTTGGTGGCTTCATTCTAAGGATGAAGAGTATGGAAAGGGACAACAGTAACTTTTTATGGAAAGACCTGGCAAACGCTGCCTTGGCACTAACATCAGTGATAGCACTGTGATGCAGCGAGGACCCTTGGTGCAATGCAATGCGGTAAAGTCATAACCCCGGGCTAATGATGACAAACGCACCCAGAAAAGCCCCAGCTGAAGAAGTTTCTTAAAAGTACTGAAAAACTACCCCAAACCAGGGGTGAATAAGGAGTCACGGTAACTACATATAACGTGGCATCCTGGAACAGACCTTGAACACATAAAGGACACTAGTGAGAAAATTAAACCTGGAGCTGAGGAAATGGCTCAGTTGCTAAGGGCACGTGTTGCCTTTTCAGAGTTCCTGGGTTTGGCTCCCGGCACCCACAGGGTGGCTCACAACCATCCATATCCCCAGCTCCAGGGGATCCAATGCCTTCTAACCTCCGTGAGCACCAGGCATGTAAAGATTCAGGCACTATGCTGGCCTGCCCTGTCACCTGGCAGAATGCACTCAGGCAGTACTCTGGTCAGCCCAGGGTTCCAGGGTTCCGCAGTTTGCACTGTACTTTGCACACAGGTGCAAAGGACCCCTTTAAAAGATAGACCCCTCCTCCTCCTGCCCATTTACACCTCTCTTTCCTGCTATTCCCCTGGAGCAGACAGGACTTTCCTGTCTCCCTTTTCTGTCCTCTCTGTCTCTGTGTCTCTTTACCTCTTGTCTCTTTCCTCCCCCACTCTCCCCCTTTCTAAAAAAAATTACTCACTAAGCTCTGTCTGCCTAACATGTTTGTCCCGCCTTGGTCTTCCTCACCTGCCACGGAATCCAGAAAGGTTCCCCTTGGACTTTATCCTAACAAGGCATGCATGCGATGGACATGCATACATGCAGGCAAAACACTTATGTGCGTAAATAAATCTAAAAAGATCCAATCAGAGGCCTAAATGCCCTAGCTAGATTTTCTGTTGCTGTTTCGGGGCTTTGTTTTCATTTTTCGAGACAGGTTTCTCTGTGTAACAGCCCTAGCTGTGCTGGAACTCTCTCTGTAGACCAGGTTGGTCTCAAATTCAC